TGAATAGTTTAACTGCTGAAACTGTAGAAAGGGGGCCGGGCTAACTTTTAGGGCCTGTTTACATGGAGGAAGGGGACCCCAGGTAGGAATGGTAACCCACTTAGGTGGGGTAACCCGCCTGTCCATATAATCTCTCATTTTAATTTGATCACGTTTACATGATAGGTGGGGTCACCCTTCAAGGTGGGTAGCCCGGTCTGCCACACCAGGTAACCCTCTCAGCTGAGGTCAAATTTTGCCATGTCAACGTTTCAAGGTGAGGAAACCCAGGCTAGTCGGGGTCGGATTCGAGATACATCAAATTCGCGCAAAATTCACTTTGGCGCTGGGTGGCTTCACATAATTATTAAAGGTAACAATAGAAAGCCACAACACTGAAGGTTGCAGCAAGAGCAGCAATTGAGCGTAGACGTGGTTTGCCAGCATTTTTCTTGTTTACATGGTTAGCGACCATTCATATAATCTTGAGAAACTGCACCCCAGGATGGCGGGGTTGTAAGATTGCATGTAAAGGAGGGTTATTTTTTTACCCCACCTAAGCAGGTTACCTCACCTACCTGGGGTCCCCCACCTTTATGTTAACAGGCCCTAAGTCTCAGGAACCGTGAAACTGGTAATAAACGGTATACCTAACCCGGGACTAGCTGTGATACTACCGGCCATCTTCAAGAACGTCAGCATAGCAGCCAAAGAAGCCATTATATCGGTGTAAAACGAATATTAGATTGCGGTTGTTTCATGCGTCTTGTTTTGTGACTATTTCTGTGTTCGTTTTTGTCACCATCTCTAAATATCAATCATGTTCAAAACACCCCTACTAACAAAATATTTCGTAAAGCTCTTTAGAATGATATTCAGCAATAAAAACAAGGTGTGACCAGGAGCCGATTTCTAGGCTCCTGGTGTGGCAACATAGGCATAAGTGAATGCAAAGTTTTGCAGTATGTAATCTGTCAAAAATCTGTTTGAGTGGTCAAAGTTGGGGCTGATGGGCTTCTTTATCATGACCACTCCATTATTAGAAGGGACCAGGCCATAATTATTGTTGACCCTTGCTTTTTTGGTATTTTATGTAATTTTCCACAGCATTATTTTGTGAAAAGTTGGTAACTGAATTGCTCTTGAGGAATTCATGATCGTAAGATTTCGTAACCACGGGGTATTCGCCTAATTGCATCAAACAAATGACATTCATTTTCATAAATGATGCATCATTGGTTGGCTAAAAGAGGCCTTGTTCCTGTAAATTTCAGCTCTTCTGAAGTTAGTTTGTTTGTAAATTGTAACGCACGCGACGACCTTCCTTTTTTTTGAAAGATCGTATAGACCTACCATTAACACTCTGGTCCAAGGGCTCTGAAGTGAATGAGCCGCTTACAGGTGTATAGGCATGCAGGGACCTCATACACTTCTTTTTAAATGCAAATGTGCAAAAAATAAAGAGTGTTAAAAATTCCTGGAGAGGCATGTTTTACAATTTCGTACCCAGGGCTTAATAAAAAGGTAGAACAAGGTAAAGCGACCATATTTTACGTCAATAACTCGTGACAGTAATAATTAGTGATAAACTTGAGGTCGACAGTGCGCTCCTTTTACCCCCTTCTCTCCATTAATTCTCCGTTTTAAGGGTATTTAAAGCTAGTCAAAGCTAGACAGAAAAAAGAGAAGTTGAAATAAGGAGGTGTTGACACCGGGCTCGAACTCGGGACCTCTCGCCCCGAAGGCTGCGCACTAACCAACTGTGCCACCCTTGCTCCTCCTTTTTCCCCTGAGGACGAGGTTGACATGTTTTAATCATTATCTCAAGGACAGGGTTACCAACGAAGCAAATTATAATCTAATCTTAGCTGCCAATTACAAAGTGGGCGTGTTGTCAGTTACCGTTCATGAGGTCGTTCATGTGGCATGTCAAACTTTAACGATTCTATCGTTTAGGATGTGATACATTTGAGTTTTATGTTATTGTATGACATCTTTGAAAGCTGGCTTTGTGATCTGTTTAAATTGATATGTAATGATATTATCACTGGCAAGTCTTAGCAGTGACACTGATAGCCGCACAGTCCGCACAATGAACATGGCCACACTTACCATGTGGAGACTGGGCACTAGTCAGTATTACGTACATGTAAAACTATTTTGAATAGTGTAACAACAACTAAACATTACCAAATTAAAAACTTAAAAATTTGCAACAAATGTTTTTTAGCCGAATCAAACAAGAAGAGTACTCACCACAGGGCACCCAATCTGCTATCATAGGTGAAAGTTAACCCCCCCTTTTATCTGTAATTAGGACCATTTGTAACGGGCACCCCCTCCAGTATTAATCGGTAGGTGCTAAGGAAGGTCTGTGCCAAATTTGACACTTTTGTCACGTCTGTAACGATCCGGCCTATATTTTGCGCTAAGAGATCTGACTAAACGTGTTTACAAAATCAGCAAACTAACTATAATTTGGGTATTGTATAAATTTATTGGTGATTTAGGATATAGAGTTTAAAAGGTCACAATGTAAAATTTACAATTGGTCCTGCTTTCTCTTAAATAATGTCGCAAGCGTCTTTCCGACGCATGACGTAAAATTTATGAAAATGTATCAGTTTGCCTTTGTCCAAAAATGCCCTGCACTAACGTCCACTTCCTTACCCCCTCCTCCCCCCCTAAACGTCCAGTTGGCGTTAAGCGGGGAAAAAGTGAATATGTCGACGGTCCCTAGACCCATACTTCAGATTTCATCCTCACCGTGAATTCAAATAGTGGATCGTGAAGATCTAAATGAGCCGGTGGGCTGTTTCAGTAATAAATTCGGAATGAAAACCAACAACCATGCAACAAACTTGTTCAAATTTCCGCCATCTACGTTGTAGCTGCAAGTGTGCGTAGCTTTAAAGGCTGGAACAATATTTAAGATAGCATCATGATTCAATAACATGGGGAATAATTAAGAACTTACTTGCTCTAGCAAAAGGAAACCAAATGCCAATGAAAAAACCAAGCCTCGCCAAGCCAGAGGAAAGCTTCTTCATGCTAAATTCACGCAAGGTATTTCAAAGAATGATAAACGCAAGCTCCAAGACAAGTTCTTTACACACAAAATTGAGGAAGTTTTACCTCAACATTAATGTCCAATGAATTGTTCCAAATGTAACTTCGAAACTCAATTGAGTGAAGAAGCTGAATTAACCTCGTAAAAGTTAATGAAACCGAACAGATTTACATTGAAGATTGAAGGTTAATTAGTTATGGATTCTAAAACCAATCAAGAGAATTTAGAATTTTAGTTTGCATACATTTCGCGCTCTATAAAGCAACGATAATCATAATAAAATCATCCACGAATTCATTTAGCCATTATATCATACCGTTAAACTGAAACGAAGACGTTATTTTTCCTAGTAACAACTTTCAAAAATTTGTAATCATTTTCTAATCATGATTACAAAGTATACAAATTCTATGAAAGTGGAAATGATCCTCGCAGTTGAATAAACAACCTAAGCGGTCGAAAAAGAACCTGAACAAATTCGAGACAGGCTTGACCGGGAATCAAACCATGACCGGCTTTGCGAATTTTATAGAACTAAAATCGTGGTAAAAGTTTAGAAACCGTATGCAATTTTTGATTTCCAAAGACATGTTACCGTTGTCTTACAAAGTCATTGTCAGATGAAACATATACAAATTACGAACAAATTACAACAGCAAAATCATTAGAAAATGTGAGAAGGGATCCACTAAGTATAGATCAATCAAAATGTTTCTTTTCAAGCCTCGTAAACTTTTGTGCGGGGACGCAAGGTAAGTCATGTTTTGACAATTAAGTCTTAAAACGGCGTCCAGCACAGTACTCCATATATATCAACGGGTGCTAAAGTGAGTTTATAGGGACAACTGTACCGCATAAAAAAAGGAAAGCAGGCAAAAAGGATTGTCGCGGAAAAACAATGCGCCCGAGAGAAGGATTGACAGGAAGCGTGAAAATTTTAGCCGCTTGTGGTAAGGGGCTACCAGTAGTGCCACCCCTACTTTGTCTTCCTGGCGCTTAAAAAGGAGCTTGAAGCTGGGGAGCATAACTCTCAACTGCTGCCGTTCCCAGACACGTCTCTCGATGTAAATTTGGGTACATTTCCTCCTTCCCGCATTCCTATTTAGACGAATTTGTGTCTTTCACTTTCCCGTGGTCCTTCTTGTCTCGTCACCAGTCACTAGCGTTACTCGCTTCTCGCGCTCGCCTTTGTTGGCGACTAAAGAGCAAGGAGTGAGAAGGCAGACCAATTACTTAAGTTAATAGAAATATTATTATATTTGATATTTATAACGGCCCATATGACCTACAGAATTTCGTGCTTTAGGAAAAACTCTCGTTTAAACGTCGTCTTTGAGTATTCTCATGTGAGGTTCATAATATCGATCAGGTAATGTCTCATCGCTTTTCATCTAGTTTCTCTTTAGTTCAGTTCGATATTGTTTTCGTTAGTATTGTTAATTTTGAATCGTTGGGGAATATGGAAAGAACGCTCTCTTTATAAAAGTGAGATATAGAAGTGTCGATTATAAATACTGAGCTATGATCTATTTAAGGCAGAGTCAACATTAAATGTTTGAAAACATGCTATATTTATATTTACGCCAAGAGCAATTTTTATTACCATGACAACATGACGTCAATCGTTAGAACTTATTTCATTTCACCTTTATTAAACAGGACTTAGTCAGTTCTTAGTCTCTAGGGATCTCAACTATTTTTTGTTTATTAGTGATGAAGCGGAAAATTTATGGGTTTTCAATATAGTCAAATCAGTCGGAGCAATATTTCCCTACTGAGTTCAAACCTTGCTTTTGATGGAGATAAATTGACCGGTACTGCGACACTGACAGTCGTTTCTTGGTAACTTTTGGTTCAGTTTTGTCCTTCTGAAAAAACAACTTGTCTAGTCAACCTCACCCTTCTCGAAAACAACGCTTTGGAGTAAAGGAAACACATTTCTTCGTACGGTATGAAGATTTACTCAATGGATATTGCGTATTGCATCGTCATACTCTTCACATTCTCCGCAAGAACTTTAGCAGGTAACTCCAGTTTTGCTTTTTATTTATTTACCTTTTTGGCACAGTTGTCGACAAATTGTTTGTTAAAAACAAGCATAAGCTACTTTGCCAGTTAAATACCTATCAGTTTACACTTATGACCTTGTTGTGACGTAGTTGAGAAGCGAGCGATACTTTACTATAATAGTTATTAACAGGCCTAAAATATTCAAAACGGTAAGTTTAGCATCGAACAGTAATTAACCGATCAACGGCATACTAAAGGAGAAGAAGTTTAATTCGAAACGTATTAATTTGCTCGGTTTACGGGGTCTCTTAAGCAATGGTTACATGTTCTCTGTGAAGAAGAAATTCTTGCGAAAGTTTCAAGAAAGCTTTGCACTGGGGAACACTAAAAGTATCTAACTTCTCAGTCACACAAGTTCTGAAAAAGCTTGCGACCAGGCATCTTTGATATTGCAACCAAACACCATATGATTGCAATGCTAAACTGTGTACGATTCGCCCGATTTCATACAAGTCAGACATTATAGCTTCTATGTTTGGACGCAACGGCCGACTCACTGAAGCCAACATAGTCGGTCCTAACCGAGGCAAAAATTGCTTCTAATGTGTAAAAAGAAATATTGAATGATAACGGTTTTATATTTCTACCTGACAGAATTTCAGTAAGTTAGCTGGCCAAAGTATTTCCTTATCTTTTTCCTTTATTAGTTACGTAAGTCTGCACGCCGGCAAACTACACTGCGTTGGAAAATTACAACAATTTCTAAAGATGCTTCATACGTGAGATTTTATATCTCAATATCTTTTGACAGCGACACTTTTTGCTTGCCTATAAGCGGTTAATAAAGAAAATTTTGAATTACATGTTCCTGGTATAACTACTATAATATTCAAGGAATACAAATCAGGCTTTTATCACACCGGATAATAGTATTTAAAAAAAATAGACATCCCTTTCAATTGTCTACATTCTTAAGGCCATAGAAATGACTTTCAAAGACTCAAGAGAGACCAGTAACCTGCAAACAAAGGTGCAAGGATTTTAACAAAGGTCTTTATACCCTTATAGACTGCATCAAAACTTTCGACCAATGAGCTTCGCAACTTGATTAGTTTTTTATTAGTTTAAAAAAACACTTTTGCACGGCTCTTCGAGTTTGTTTGTTTGTTTTTTTTCGTTAAAATTTTTATTTTACTTATTAAATAATTGTTTGCCAAGTATTACGAATGCCCTAATTCTTTATCAATGTATTCCAGTTACTCTGGGGCTACTCATGGTCAGCTGGCTGGGAACTCATAGTGATGCGTCTACTCCGGTTAATAATGATGATAAAATTAAGGGAAAACAACAGTAGGATATGAAGAATTACGCAGATCGAAGAGGGTGTTATCCACCGAGGCCAGAGACCGAGGTGAATAACACCCTCCGAGATCTGCTTTAAAATTCTTCATATCCTACGAAAGCCGAATTCATTAATTGTTTTATTATTCATTCAAAATAATTTCTAGTGTAAAAACATAGCAAAAACTTGCTTACCTGTATCCGATGTTAAGTTCATCTTCGATAGTGTACGTTTAGGTTTGTCAAGCACCGCAAATATCTCCAAATAGCAGTTGTCGCCCTCCGAGTTGTCTTCTTGCTGTTTTTGCCATGTTCTTAGCTATTATTTCGCCTTGTTCCAGTTGTAGTTCTTACTCTGGAAACGAGTGAAATGTCCGCCATTTTTTGTCACAACCAAAACAACTCAGCTTCGTCCCCGGGTCTTCTTGGTAAAGGTGCCTTAACCTGTAGCGGGCTGCAAGTAAGGGTTATAGATCTAACAAACGTTCTAATAATTGATAAGTATTCAGTTTTCTAATCTCAGTCAACAGTGATGGCTTAAATCAGCTGGCATACTGAATAGATTTACATAGTATTCAAAAAGTAACGATAAAGATCAAATGAAGGATTAGAACAAAGCCGCCTGTTAATAGAATAGCCAACTCAAAAATTCAATTCTATTTTGTAACTATTTAACGCGTCATTAAAACCTCCTCTCTTCTTTTCAGCTGAAAATGGCTACCTTATTGGAAAGGAGGAAGACGGTAAGTACCATATGTTCCTCTAACAAGACTTTTTCATCTATTTCTCTTCTCCTGTCGACTCTAAAAAACAATGTTTTTGACGTTCCAGGTACGATTATTTAATACTTAGACAAAAATCCAGGATGTTAGGCCGAGAAAAGATTTTAGCCATAACCCCATTTCTGAAAATCGACATTATCTACGAACATTGTCTCTACAACATAAGGAGAAAAGGTTATAAGAATTAATAGAATGGTCAGCAATGCTTCGATCGTTTCTAAAATTCTCTCAGCTAGTTCGTCAAGGAAATGTATGCAGATCAGTCTGGATAATTTGTATGTGGATATTGGGACTCAAGGGTGTAGCTGTCTCACATAATATTTTTTTATAGTCCTATACATCGTCATGAAGTCTTCGAAACACTCAAAAGCAAATTAGGTCACAGTCTTCTACGCAAAGCACCCGCCGCCATGAAAGGCACATTGCTTGACAATTCCAAAAACGCCGGTCGGTGAAGCAGACTACTGTCATATTTGCAGTGCTTATATACAGTAAACGGAGCTAATAAGAACCTACCTTTGTAGGTCTTTTATGAAGTCTGACTAAATTGGTTCTTGTATTTTGCGGTACTCATTAGCAATTTAGGCTAGGAAGGTTCTTAGCTTTGGTTCTTAATTTTTTAGAAGGAGATAATAGATTGTTGATTACATGTACCAGAAAAATAATTCACAAATTATTCACAATTGTATTGTTATAACCATAACAAAACTGATTACCAAATTTATATAAAAGTTAGTACAGTATGTTCTTGTTATACTTTGCTTAAAATTTACAACTCAAAGTTACACTGACCTTTGTTAAGTTGTTTATCATAATTTAACTGTAACCCACATATAAGAACCTTTCTTGATTTAACAGGTTCTTGTAATCAAAGTGGCAAATTTCTGCCGAGAGGTTCTTAATCCACAGGTTCTTATTAGCGGGTGTTTACTGTGTATTCGATGGGGAGAAGTGCAAATCCTCCTATAATCCGTTGCCCCACGATGCATAATACAACAGTGACAGTGGAACATTTTTCTCCATGAGGAGAAGGGGCGGGGGAGGGCGTCCTAGACACTAACTTGAAGTGGGAAAGGTTAGGAGACTTTCTTCAAAGTAAGGCTTTTCTAATGCCCTCTCTAGCCTCTCCTTTCCTCCATCGTCCCTGTACAACGAGTGCCTGACTATATTTGCAGGGAAACTCTCGAGGGGAAAATCATTCAATCCTTTGAATGATTATCATTAATGTGATTAAATTTTACAAAAAAATTACTAATGTATAATGACGTTTTCCATTCTTATTGTTTCAGAGACCTTGCTAAATCTCAGCGTCATTTTTCTTGTTATGAGCGTCTTGTTCCTGCTTATCACCATCCTTGCAGGCTTTGTCCTGATGAAAAAGCTGAAACGAACGGGGTATGTCGACCTAACACACTCTTTTTTATAAGAAGATATTTCATAACAATATCGAGGCTGAAATCTGCGAAACTTTGAGAAACTGATTTTAAGAATAAACCCCAGGCTTAAAATTTGAAAGGGTGCAATTTTGTGTGTTGAAAGTCTGTAAGTACAATACAATTATGTTTTTAACGTATTCGTTTCAAATATCTTAACGGCAAAACTAGCCAACAAAACTGACTATGATTGATACCCCCAATATATATATATTCTGAAAAGGAAATGTCACGAGCTATAATTCAAGAATAATACAAGCATATTTTCAACCTAAAATGGGCAGAAAAAACTAGAATATTTAGCCTGGAAAACTGAGGCCGTGAGCCTGCATGGTAGGCTTTTAAAAGGAAAAGGAGAAAGAAGAGAGGAAAGGAGACTCCAAATAGTGTGAGGATATTTAGCTTATTTTTTTTTACCCCTAAAAGAAACCATTTTGACTGGCATTTTGAGGTTGTTGCGAGCGAGACTGGGTCCAAGCTGCACTAATTGCGAATTGCACTATGGGACTCTTCTGGGGAGACTATCACTTTTTTCAGTGGTTATTGCGAAGTTGTGTAGATAACTTACGCACAATTCGTTCCCCAAAACAGTCCCATACAGACCTGTAGTGGAATTGACATGACGAGATCGTTGCATGTCAAGAATTCTTTTGCTAGGTAACGCAATGGCAAGCTCGAGCAACTACGATGATGACGACGGAAACAAGAAGATAAGAAAATCAACAGGTTTCATAAGCAAAACAAAAACTCTAAACGTGCAGCAGACTTTTTGGCCGTTTTCTGTGCCGTCACCGTACACTGACTGACCATGTTAAACTTGATCGGAATGGCAATGCGATCGTCGCTTTATTTTAAATCTCTAAGATCTAAGATCATCGCGACTTTGATTTCGTCGGTGGTACCTCTAGATCGAGAGTCTCCGAATGCTTGTGCGAGCAAAAATATAGCTGCTCCATACTGAACAGACTGAACAGGTTAGGTGAGACCAAATTTTTCAATTTACATCCCTAAAAGAGACGACCAACATTTTGTATCTTTCGTACTGAGGGTCCCCTTGGGTCCGCAAACAATTTCCTTTTTACACTTTCGTCAAAAGTCCTCCTTCACGAACTGTTGAGACATGATTATTAAGAGTGCAAGGAATCCTTATATTTTTAGATTGATAAAACTAAACACAGCGTAGCGGTGGATCAGGCCTCATCTGTTGTTGCGTCACATTGTGATCGTGGCTTTTCACTGCCAGCGGGTATCCTGCAGGCGTTAGACCAAAAGGTCTTTAAGTAGCGGCAGGGTGGTTGTAGGCGATCTTTTTTTTGTACTTCATTCATTGCTGGTGGATTTTCATCCACGGCATCGTTTGTATTGATCAAAGTGCAGTGATAATAAACTTATAGTTCTATACTTGTAATTGATTAAGGAGATTGCTCAGGGTGGAGACACCACTCTAAGCCATCCTTAGATGAGATCAGCTCGAATTTTAAACAAGAAGAAAAACTTGGATTCAAAATTAAANCGTCGCTTTATTTTAAATCTCTAAGATCTAAGATCATCGCGACTTTGATTTCGTCGGTGGTACCTCTAGATCGAGAGTCTCCGAATGCTTGTGCGAGCAAAAATATAGCTGCTCCATACTGAACAGACTGAACAGGTTAGGTGAGACCAAATTTTTCAATTTACATCCCTAAAAGAGACGACCAACATTTTGTATCTTTCGTACTGAGGGTCCCCTTGGGTCCGCAAACAATTTCCTTTTTACACTTTCGTCAAAAGTCCTCCTTCACGAACTGTTGAGACATGATTATTAAGAGTGCAAGGAATCCTTATATTTTTAGATTGATAAAACTAAACACAGCGTAGCGGTGGATCAGGCCTCATCTGTTGTTGCGTCACATTGTGATCGTGGCTTTTCACTGCCAGCGGGTATCCTGCAGGCGTTAGACCAAAAGGTCTTTAAGTAGCGGCAGGGTGGTTGTAGGCGATCTTTTTTTTGTACTTCATTCATTGCTGGTGGATTTTCATCCACGGCATCGTTTGTATTGATCAAAGTGCAGTGATAATAAACTTATAGTTCTATACTTATAATTGATTAAGGTGATTGCTCAGGGTGGAGACACCACTCTAAGCCATCCTTAGATGAGATAAGCTCGAATTTTAAACAAGAAGAAAAACTTGGATTCAGAATTAAATTTAGTTCCGCATCCAGAAACTTTAAGGCTCAATTTTTCGATGATACAGAAGCCGTGGCAACTGTGGTGGAATTTAATCGGAAGTCAGAGATAATATTAAATCTGAAAAGAGACCCAGCATTGTATCTCGTCATTTGTCTTGTCCAATAACAATGCGTGGGAAATTCTTATGTGCGACATTTTTGAAGAAACTTCATATTTCTCGATTTGTCTTTAAATTACACTTTTAACTGATTCAGTGTGTTTTCTGTTCAGGAGATCTACAGCCGGATATGAATTAGAAGGCAGAGAAGACAGATACCAGAGTATGTACGCAGGCAAGACCGATCATGAAAATCCGTATGGGACCAATGTCGTCCACTATGAATCCCTTAAGGTTGGTATTCTTAAACACAGGTACACCAGCCGCATTCCACCTCATCAAGAGCAATAATGGGTCCCATTATCGCTCTTGACCTCATTTAATGATTCGGCAGCTTAACTGATTCAGGTTAGCAGAGTTGATTAACACCCTAAAGCGGGATTCCTTTTTCTTGCCTGTTAAACTTTACTTGTTATTCAATGGCCTTCAATTCAGATTAAATTTTGGGCAAAACGAATCACATAAATTTGCTTTATTACAAGCATTTGTATGCTTTTACGCTTCTTTTCGCTTTTTGGTTAAATAATCTGATTACCCCGTTAATTGAGTTCTTGTTTGATTTATTAGATAGAAGTAATTGGACCGTTAATCGTATTTAAAGCAACAACCTATTACAGCAAGGAGCCCAAAAGTGGGACCTCCTTTAATTTATTCACATTCTTTCATGCAGACATTAACCAATCAGAAGTCGAGTTTTCAGTTTCCATCTGGCTTCTGATTGGATTAAATCTGCACGAAAGAATGTGAATAAATCAAGAGCGGTCACACTTTTTGGCTCCTTGCTGTGTGGCTCCCTTCCCATGTGTGAACTAAACATTCACGTCATACTATGTTTTGCTCCCACAGGTGAATGGGTCAAGTAATGGCGTCTATGAGTCGCTAGCCAGCAATAGGACGTATCAACCAGCTGTTGCCTTTGAGCAGTCCAATGGACACGCCAAAACCGAACGGGACACCCCACCTGGTTCAGCAAATGGTGGACCAAGGACTCTGAGCTCCTTCCAAAACCCCGCTTATGACTCCAGCATGCCCTCTGGCTTGGACAAAGCGGTAGAAATCAAGCCGAGCACACACTCCAACGACGATACAGAGGACACAGCCTTCTAGAGGTTGGATCAACGAGGGCGCGCACACGTAAGAGTTTTAAGAGACTGCTGTTTACACGAATAGGACATGAGGCACTCGCCTTTAGTGAGTGACCGTGGATTGTCAACTTAACTTTGTGTCATTTCTGCTTAAAGTTTATTCCACGCATCCACGATAAAACGCTCCACATTCCGTACTCTTTGAGGTTTAACTATTATGACACGTAAGTCCCCGGTATGAATCAGACTTAGCTCCATTCACTTTCCGACTCTCGGCAATGTGCCTAACTTGCCTGATAAAATCCTGGCATCACACGTTCCATTTTGAAAGTGAGTCCTAGCGAGGGAAAAGCGGTTATTGCGATACTGGAGAGGTACACAGAAATTTGGGCAGTTCAAGAGTGCCAGGGTAGTCTCCCTAATTCAATTGAAAAAAGGGGTTTCTTGGAGGGGGGATTGATCGCAACTGCGTAGTTATGTCTTTGACGAACAACTTGTTTGCTGTCAGCATTGATTCTCTGACGGAGTTTTCAAGGAACAAATCATCTCCGTGAAGCAAGACCCAATCAATTTTTTGACACCGCCATTGGTGAATTGACCACAACTGTCGCATGTTGAAGGCAGACAAAATCATGAAAACCGCACGTCGTCCGAGATCCACCCCTAAAGTGATCGTCACTTTGATAAATATACCTCCCCGGACATTTTGGAAACATGTTGGCTATATGAAAGGAGCCTTACCTTTCACCTCATATGAACCTCTGAACCATCAGCAACACATGCGGTGTGGGTAGAATGGGTAGAATCGAATTATTGATTGAGACGTCACATAATAAACAAGGTTAAGTCGTTCATGCCCCACCTCTGACACCCAAAATTCGAACATTTTTAGCCCTAGGGTGTCATGTAACACCACTAACCCTTAAAAGTAGTGTACTGGCTCGCTAATTCTCGCCAACAATTATATTTCCCTCTGTAAATTTATAATATACACATAACAGCATGCGAGTGTAAGACGTAAACCATTATTTAAACTTCATATCATATCATATCATGGCACATTGCAAAACTTGAATACTGACGCTTGTAGTGTGAAAATTCTGCTGAAACAGTGGAAGTTTTGTCGCTTTTCTAATTCATTTATTATTTTTTTCTTGCAGGCATTGTTTAATCATAGCACCGTCTGAATTGTTATCCTTTAATTTTGGCAACTGACTTTGTAACGCTTGACGCACAGCCAGTAGGATCACTCACAACATGTACGATGTCAGTGTTTGCTTACTTGCTTACTGATAATGATAGTTGAAAGTAGAGAAGATTATCACATTTGGTTGCAAAAATGCCTGAATTATTCGACCAAGCTTTCTTTTCACGACTGCAAACGTTGCTTCTATAATTGCGCTGATCATATTTTTTCATTTAAAAGCTATTACTGTAAACAGAAATATAATTAATATGATTTCCAGCTCAGTGCATAACGACCTTTTACAAATAAAGTTGTAAAACGATCAAATAAGTCTATGTTGGTCAGGATGTGGCGTTTACAATCTTCAGCTTTGCATGGTCCCACAAAATCGTAGGTTGTTTCGCGAACAATCCGCATTTCCCTCACTTTATTTTTTACTTAGAGCCTTGTTTTCTGTAACGGTCCTGTAATCTGTAACGGCCTTGGGCGGTCTGTGAAACCATCCTACCGAAGCCGCTGTCTGCGTCAAACCATGGTCAAAAATCCCCGGGGGTCCCCCGGGCAGAAATCAGGGACTTCGCAGTCCGTGCATTCGGACCGTTTGATAATGCTCTTTATCGCTGATCTTTAGTTCGCGTGACGGGCTCATATTTTAGGACAAATCGAGTGGTAGAATACGTAGTTGTTTTGTACCAAATAAAAGCTGATTGAAAGTATTGCCAAAACAAGCAATAACGAAAGATTTTTGATTAAACAAGCTTTCGAACCATGGGTGTTGGAGCAAAATTAATCAAAGAAAGGCCGAAATATCGCTGTTTAAAGACTGGAATTTGGGGATTTTAGCGCGAGTGCTGGATTGTGTTTGGGTCGTGTTTTCATCACAGAAAAGGATGATGTTAATGGTTTTAAATTTAGTTGAAAATTCAGGGGCACCCAACGGGAATATAGTTCAAAACCACTTAAACATAGCATTTTTAAACGTATTTTAGTATTTAAACGGTAGATAAAGGCATATTTTTATCCCCTAAAAATTTTTCATCTGTTCGGATTTCCTAGCTGAAAGTCTAGTGATCCGAAAATTATAGGGATCAAAACTTACCTTTTCGAAAATTTCAGCCAGAAAATATGCTCCGAAAATTCTAGGTGACCTTTTTAGGGTAAAAATCCGTTAAAAATAGGCAATTATACCATTTTTTAGATGTTCGAAAATCCTAGGAGAGGCAGGCAAGCAAGAAGTTTTACAACAAATGTTTCGAAAATTCTAGATCTCAAATCGTCTTCCGAACAGATATTTTCCCGAAAATTGTCGTTGGGTTCCCCTGAAAATTGCTGTATTTTATTGGCCACTTTGTCGACTTTCAGGGATGAGGGCGGCAAACTCAAATCGGACCTAAACGCGGCGGCCAGCGGAGGTAAGAGCCGATTTAAGAAATTTACCAGATAAATTAGTGGGATTAAAAGAGCGAGATCACAGCTAAAATCAACCTCAAAAAGGACGGTGTTAACGAACTAGTGTAGATGAAAGATTCATACATTTTGATTACGGATACTTTCTACTGGTGGATGCAAGGGCGGAATATTTTACAGGAAGGCGAGAACTTTTCCTATTCTTAAATATAAGTTTCGCTCCATGGCTTTGTAAACGAAATCGCCACTTTTGTCTCCAAAATATGAGAAAACCGCTGTCGTTACGGGGACGCCGCGTCCATGATTTCAGGCCATGCGCACCCGGCAGACGATCCGGATCACTTAGGGTACTCCTGTACCCATATCTCACTTTGTGGGGGATCTAGGTACTAGATAACGCCTTGGCAACTTCCCAGTTATCAGCTAAAATTTCAGCCCTCAGTTATAGTTTAATTTCTGGATCTATCAGTGTTTCAAAACAAAAACATTAGATGAGAGTTAAATTTTCGACAATTCTCACACTGCGTTTTTCGACGTAATTCCACAAACGTCGAGTTAAATCAACCCTTGAGCATTGGGTTAAATTCTTTTCACCTAACAGCTACGCTCCTTACGTCGATTATTCTTATAGTGACTATATACATGTTGTCTATAATATTTGCTTACTTGGGAAATGGGAGAGATCGACGCAAACGCTTAAGATGACAGCATTGACTAAACAAATTTTTGTCAAGATAACGATTCCATTGCAGGCTCTCAGTAAGACGGCAACAAGCAGAAAAGCGGGTGTGGAAAATATAACCATGGCGAGAACTGGGGAGAGACGCTCGCTTTCGTTTTCGCTAATGTTCCAATTAAAACTAGACTCCCTCGAAAACGCCAGCGTGGGAGGATGAAGTAGCCGGCTATGTAGCCTGAAACAGGTTGTGAGATAACCATTCGATGAAACTATAACCGCACATCCGTACATATCAGTGTAAATATTTCATAGTCTTACTCTCACCCGGCTTTCGTGTAGTCACAAACCCATCCTCTAAACTGGAAGCTGCGTCCTGCACGGGCTTCCGAGAGGCTGAGCCGGGAGCGTGGACTGGAGACAAGCGAGGAAAGCGTGAAGGGATATGGAAATGAGCGCAAAGCGCGAACGGGAAGGGGCTGGGAAGGAAAAATACGTCTCTCCCTCCGCAGCCACTTTCCTAAATTATTCACAAAAATGTTCCCATAATCGCGAGGGACTAGAGACGAGACAGAAAAGGAGGAACAAAGAAAAAGGATTAGGTCCCTGTCTCGCTTGGCTGAGCCAAAATAAATGGCACCTTCTTTCAATGAAAGAATCGATAATGACGTAAAAGAAAACGTAACTGCCTCGTGCGTGGTATTCATTTGGTATCAAAGTCCGTTACACGGGCAATATTAATTATATTGGATACTGCGGAATAAACTACAGTGTCAAACTATGCACACGGCATATGACTCAGTGAAAACTACAAGGCTGTAGCAGGAAACGAAATATGAATGAATTTTTTCATAAGGAACCTCCTCTTAAGAAAACTAGTACGCAGTTTCCGGGCGAGCTGTTCTTACTCACACAAGCAAAAGCTCTCATAGGGTAAAACATATTTGCGTGCTGTCCTCGTGGTTCATGAATAATTATTATATAATATTTATTATATGGACCATGCAGCGAACCAAAACAAAATCACGCATAAATTAAAAGTTGAGTAAATTACACGAACAAAAATATAGTTCAAACTTAACTTGTGCCGTGCGAGTTAGATGCGATTACGACGTGATTTGTGAGAAAATTGCCTAATTTTCATTTGCCTCGTGTGATGATTATTATAATAAATCGGTGCAGCGTGTCGCACTTTCTTCTTTGCCGGTCTAATGGATGTTTCATGTGAAATCCGTGCAGTTTTATTGGTGTTGTTGATTTGTTCCTCGATTCGCGCCGGTAAGTAATTCAGCATCCTAAAAAAGAGCAGTTTATGAGTCTGAAATCGGGGTTATCACGAAATACTGACCCTGTTTGGCGTATGTTCTGGCCCTCAATATCAGCTCCACTAAAATACTCTTTGACACTACCAAAACTGTTATATTAAGTAAGTTTCAAAACTTGAAGACATCTTTAACGTGTAGTCATGTAGTATAAACACCCAGACAGACGTATTTAGCGTGTGACCTCAGTACTAACGTCTTCTGTTAAGAGTGTCGTTCAGACCCGCTTGACAGACGACTTAAACCTCTCAGGTGTTTTTAAAAATGCGTCTAGTCATAAAAATGGGAAGCTGTACATTGGAGCACATTTGTGCTCAACTCGTTCTCTTTTCAGAAAACTCTGCTTTTAATTAATTTCATGCGTCCCGTTTTTTACACCATGCAGATGACTTCAATGTCTCGGACGTCAAATTCGTCTAGATGACTGAGTCTTTTATAGCCCAGGATGAAAAAGGCAAACCATTTATGACGAGGCAAAGCAGACATAATTCTAACCAATGTAACAGTTGTGCGACAATGAAAGATTCATCAAAAAAAGTTTTAGTTTGATTCGTTTTAGCCAGTCTTGAGGCCAATTTATTGGCGAAAATATACATTTATATGTATTATGAAGCTATGTCGTACTATATACTTTACAAATTAATATAATGCATCTTTTGTTCTGTAGTGCAAGCGGTCGGGAGATTACTTTAAGTTTAGTCCAGATTAAATTCTTGTCGAACATACTTTGGTTTTTAATAAAAGAAAAATTTTCATATCTGCACAAATAGTTATTTATCCCGGCATATTCATTCTGTCATTGTTAGACAATAATCACCGACTTTGTCTTGAATTTTCTCTATATAACGTTGCGCCCGTCATTTAAGTTTAGTTTGTTTTTTGTTGTTGTTGTTACTTTTTATAATTAAAGATTATGTGGCACATTCAGATGGCACTGAAAAGAGCAGCCAAACAAGTAAGTGTACCTTAAAGTTTAAAAAATACTTTAAGTAACTGGTCATCAGTGTAAACGCTCAGATTTATGTAATCCCTCAGCTGGGTAGGTTCATTAGGCATCTGGCATGTGTAAGCTGTACTTGGAACTATGATTGAAAACAACAATTCGGCCCATGTAGGATTTATCTTGGATGCTGGATTCCTTGCTTTTCATTCCAGCGTCGGGATTTCTTGCCAGTGGAACTTGGATCCCGGATTGCGTAATTCCGGATTCCAAAGCCTAGGATTCTGGATTCCACAAGCAAAAATTTCCCGGATTCCAAAATATGGATTAACTTACGGGGACGGGGCGAAACAATTTGTGACGGTTGGTTGACGGTGGTAAAGATATCATAATAATTGTGATGATAATGGTGATAGACCTCTTCTAACCCTCTTGTATTCACTTGGGTCTATGTGTAGCAAATGTGAGCTATTACAGGAAGTATAGCAATCTTTGTTAAACCCAGTTCTTGAGCTCTAACTTCCCATACATATATCTAGCCGGGTTTTTGAAAACGTCACCGCCAAATGGACCTTTTGCGTCCAACAGTTTTTTTTTTCGGCCAAAAACTATCTCCAAAGTAGCCATTATGAACATTAAGGGTGCAGCCATTGCTTTTTTCTCTTCTCCTCCTTTCTTCCTCCTAGCTCTTTCTTTTTCTCCTTTCCTCCTCTTCGTTAGTGTGATTTTTGAGCTTATTGGGCCCAAATAGCCCGAAAAAAAAACTGTTGTTCGCAAAAGGTCCATTTGGCGATACCGTTTTAAAAATCCGGCTACAGTTATGTACCTATTGACTAACTTTTGTTTTTCACTTCAGTTGCTTTTACTACTTTGATCGTGTTTGGTGTAGTGTTTGCCGTTCAGGTCATTGTGTTCATGCTGTTTGCTTGCAAAGCGTGGGATGCTGTGTACGGGTAAGGGTTCTTTACTGGTTGACTAATAACACCCCTAATGCTGAGTCTAATATATTACAGTCCACGCACTCGTAACAGAAACCTCTATAAGACGGGTACTTCTGGGTCACCTCAAGCTGTGCACCCAGAGTTGGTCGGGGGGGGGGATCTACGATTTCTTGGGGGGTGGAGGGGGGTGGTTGTGCAAAACTAAGGAATAGCGTACCTGATTGGTGACGTAAACAAATTTAAAAGCGTATACGAAGGAGAAGGCTTTAGGTTGGCAATAACATTATGTGAACTGCTGACAATACATATCATACATATCTGCACATTTTTCAGAATATCAGTTGTATTAGAAAGCCGCAGGTCATCTCAGAGAGAGGGGGTGCCCACCCCCTGCACCCCCTCCCGGAATCCGCCCCTGAGTTGGACCCTGTTTTTCCTTACTCCCTTTATTTGACTCTCTATAAGACGGACATCTCTCTAAGATGGACACTGTACTTAGTGCCGGTCCCAAAGGTCTCCGTCTTAAAGAGAACTGACTATATATGGTTAGATTTGACCGTGGTTACCGTGGTCACGTTCGCAGCTAGACCGTTGGAAGGGAGCAATGCAAAGCCTGAGAATATGGATGAAACCCGTTAATTCTACTGTAGATAGGAGTGGAAATTACTTCCAGCTGATCACGGGTAGTAATGATGATCGCCATAATGATGCGGATATTGATGACTATGACCATGTTGATGTTGATAATGATGATGATGCTAGTGATGGTGATGTTGATGAAGCAAATAATTTTAATAACAATAATAATTATAATAATAATAGTAATAGTAATAATGAGTACGACCAGAAACTCATAAGGGGTGGTAAGCCAATTTCCTGCTCAGTATTTCGATAACCTTGAAAGCTCACTCGGCTTTTGGGAGTTTGATGGTCAGTTATCTTTTCTTCTCGTTCCAAATATGGTATTCTCGAAAATGAATAATCATAAGTATCGGACAACGCAAACATATGAGAGTTACACGTGTCAACCCCTTGTAAGTTTTTCGTACAACACACTCATTGTTAATAAATATCCAATTTCTTCCACTTTATTTCCAAACTAAGTTGCACATTTTTGAGTCTAGAAAGCGTGGTGCTCATCAAAGCAGATGCTGCTGTCCCGCTTCTAAATTCACCAGGTCGCCACAAACAAAGGGTACTTAAACTACTACGAAATAACTTATTTACCACTGTAATTTCATTTTGCCTTGTAGATCTCGCTCAGTAAGGGCGGACCCCGTAATGCAAGGGGAAAACGATTTTCCTTTCTTACCATCTTACGATATGGCGATGAGTAGCCCACCAGTCAGGCAACAGTCTGTACAATCAGTCGCGGGAAATGCAAGTATAGATAACGGAGTCATTGTGGACATGACAAGACTCAGTGTAGACCAAGTAACCCACAACCGTCACGATTCCATAGACTCAATAGGTTCTAATGAGCATACATTGTCAAGGAATGACAGCATCGACAACGGCGTGGTGATGGAGATAGGGAGACTTAGTGTGAACACGAGCTAAGTAAGACGGTATCCATTGACTCTGGTGGCTCTACTGACGACACAATAAAAAAATTACAAGACAGAGAAGACTTCCTTTATTCAAGAACTGTCCTCAAGACGTCAGAGATCTTTAGACCTCTAACGGCAGTCTGATAAACCATTGGAGGCCCCAAATAAAACGTCTTCTCCAAACCACACAGGGGCACCCAACGAGAATACAGTTCAAAACCACTTAAACATAGCATTGTTAAACGTATTTTAGTATTTAAACGGTAGATATAGGCATATTTTTATCCCCTAAAATTTTTCATCTGTTCGGATTTCCTAGCTGAAAGTCTAGAGATCCGATAATTATAGGGATCAAAACTTACCTTTTCGAAAATTTCAGCCAGAAAAAAGGCTCCCGAAAATTCTAGGTGACCGTTTTTTAGGGTAAAAATCCGTTTAAAATGGGCAATTATACCAATTTATAGATGTTCGAAAATGTTCCGAAAATTCTAGATCTCAAATCGTCTTCCGAACAGATATTTTCCGAAAATTGACGTTGGGTGCCCCTGACCACACTGTTCTACGTCTAGAAATTAAAATGTATATCCTTTCTCTTTTTTTCCAAGTTTGGACATCAGTGGAACAGTCTGAAACGAATATCCATCAAAACTGCTGGAATAAGCGCCTTAAGATTAATAACACTGTCAAGTTTGAGTCTCAAGCGAGCGAAGATATAGCTTAGCAAAGTCGCAAGATTTTACCCACGTTTATATGGTCAGGTGTATTTACTACTTTCACATAGACCATAATGCACCTTGTTTACCCCCCAAAATTTTGCCTAACCATTGTTTCCAATTTTTCCTGCTATAACAATTGTCCCAAGAGAAATCCAAGACAATGGTTATGCAAAATTTTGGGGGGTAAACAGGGTGCATTATGGTCTATGTGAAAATGGTGAATGGTCACAGGGGGCACTAACTCCACCCACGTTTCTGGGAAATCGCCTTCCTACCCCTCCCCTAAGCCAACATTAACACTTTCTTCTTACTTAGGGCAAAATGTTGGCTTAGGGGAGGGGTAGGTGGGTAGTTTCTGAGAAACGTATAATGATCTTAAACGTCTATGAAGTTGGGCAACTTTGCGAAGATTTTACACTCAAAATTGGCAACAAAGCTGGTCAAAAGTTGAAAAAAGCGAGGAAGGGTCAATTGTAAGCAACAAAAACGCGTACATACTATAAATTTGTTTAAAAACGACCGAGTAATGATGCATATGCACGACAGGAGTTTGAATGTCTCGCAGTCGCCAGACGAAAGCAATGTCTTGACTTCTATTTTTTTCTGTTAGTTATAGTCCTGTTAGCATTATTGTTCTGTAATATGTTTTATGGACACAGGATTTTGTTAGAAACAAGATCCCTTAAGCAAACTAAATTGTTTCAGTTAAAAGTTTCAGGTAAACTAAAATTTGTAATATATCAAATGTTATTATAATTACTTCATGTATGTACCAATATATTTATTTTTCAACCGAATCTGTAGCATTTTGTTACTTCACATCAGCCGTACCAACTAGGAAGATCATGAGAGTTGCTTTATTATTTCATAAACATCTTCTCCATTTGTGAGAATTGTCCATGATTTTATTCTAACTCTTTCTTATGCTCGACCAAAGAAAAAGTTGATCAATCTTATGTCAAGGTACATGTATTTTTTTGTACAAAAACTATTTTATAACTACGTTACCATTTTGTCCTGTTTCTGTGACAAACAATTTTAAATTATTCTGAATGAGGGAACTTTTCCATCTAGCTCAGTGTTCATAATCTTATACATCAAGATATACACTTCAGTTGCTTTTTCCTGAGTAAGAGGGGAGCTGAACTTATAAACAGCGTCTCTGTCGACTAAGCAGGATATAACTGGACACCAGGGAACATGGCGGTAGGTCATCGGTTCTTTCCTCTGTAGTCTCCTTTTAAAACCGATACTTAACAATTATTCCTCGAGCCCGAATGGGCTCTGAGTTAATAGCCTCATCATGAGGCCGAAGGCCGAATGAGCTATTGATTAAGAGGCCATGAGGGCGAGAGGAATAATTGTTTTAGTAAAATCCAACTAGTTGGTCAAAAATATCGAGAATAAAAAAAATAGCTAGTTAAAGCTAGACTTTAATCCTTTGTTGCCACCAAGAAGCCCGCGCTTTTCGCTACGAGGGGGCTATATAACAATTATTCACCGAAGTGGAGGTGGGTAGTATTGGATATTTACCGAGGCCGCGAAGCGGCGAGGTAAATATCCAATACTAGCCACCGACACTGAGGTGAATAATTGTTTTAGTATATACTAAAACAGTGAGATAATTGAGCACAAAATGATGATTTTTTATTGGTGTTGTTGATTTGTTCCTCGATTCGCGCCGGTAAGTAATTCAGCATCCTAAAAAAGAGCAGTTTATGAGTCTGAAATCGGGGTTATCACGAAATACTGACCCTGTTTGGCGTATGTTCTGGCCCTAAATATCAGCTCCACTAAAATACTCTTTGACACTACCAAAACTGTTATATTAAGTAAGTTTCAAAACTTTAAGACATCTTTAACGTTTAGTCATGTAGTATAAACACCCAGACAGACGTATTTAGCGTGTGACCACAGTACTAACGTCTTCTGTTAAGAGCGTCGTTCAGACCCACTTGACAGACGACTTAAACCTCTCAGGTGTTTTTAAAAATGCGTCTAGTCATAAAAATGGGAAGCTGTACATTGGAGCACATTTGTGCTCAACTCGTTCTCTTTTCAGAAAACTTTGCTTTTAATTAATTTCATGCGTCCCGTTTTTTACACCATGCAGATGACTTCAATGTCTCGGACGTCAAATTCGTCTAGATGACTGAGTCTTTTATAGCCCAGCTCAGGATGAAAAAGGCAAACCATTTGTGACGAGGCAAAGAAGACATAATTCTAACCAATGTAACAGTTGTGCGACAATGAAAGATTTATCAAAAAAAGTTTTAGTTTGATTCGTTTTAGCCAGTCTAGAGGCCAATTTATTGGCGAAAATATACATTTATATGTATTATGAAGCTATGTCGTAGTATATACTTTACAAATTAACATAATGCATATTTTGTTCTGAAATATGTAGTGCAAGCGGTCGGAAGATTACTTTAAGTTTAGTCCAGATTAAATTCTTGTCGAACAAATTTTGGTTTTTAATAAAAGCAAAATTTCATATCTGCACAAATAGTTATTTATTCCGGCATATTCATTCTGTCATTGTTAGACGATAATCACCGACTTTGTCTTGAATTTTCTCTACATAACGTTGTGCCCGTCATTTAAGTTTAGTTTGTTTTTTTTGTTGTTGTTACTTTTTATAATTAAAGATTATGTGGCACATTCAGATGGCACTGAAAACAACAGCCAAACAAGTAAGTGTATATTAAAGTTTAAAAAATACTTCAAGTAACTGGTCATCAGTGTAAACCATTATGAAAATTAAGGGTGCAGCCATTGCTTTTTTCTCTTCTCCTCCTTTCTTCCTCCTAGCTCTTTCTTTTTCTCCTTTCCTCCTCTTCGTTAGTGTGATTTTTGAGCTTATCGGGCCCAAATAGCCCGAAAAAAAAAAACTGTTGTTCGCAAAAGGTCCATTTGGCGGTACCGTTTGAAAAATCCGGCTACAGTTTTGTACCTATTGACTAACTTTTGTTTTTCACTTCAGTTGCTTTTACTACTTTGATCGTGTTTGGCGTAGTGTTTGCTGTTCAGGTCATTGTGTTTATGCTGTTTGCTTGCAAAGCGTGGGATGCTGTGTACGGGTAAGGGTTCTTTACTGGTTGACTAAGAACACCCCTAATGCTGAGTCTAATATATTACAGTCGACGCACTCGTAACAGAAACCTCTATAAGACGGGTACCTCTGGGTCACCTCAAGCTGTACACCCAGAGTTGGTCAGGGGCGGATCTACGATTTCTTGGAGGGTGGGGG